TCTACAAAGCTACACAGAGAAACCTTGTCTTATCAAAAAAAAAGGGAGGGGGTAAAAAAAAAAAAGACCCCAAGAAGATAGGGTTCTGGGCAAACCTTCTACAGCATAAGCACCAGCAGCCACATACTCCGTTTGAAGTCTTCTCGGTCCACTGTCCTTACCCCTATGCCAGAAAACACCAGATTCCTGCAGCCAGGTCCTGTGACAACCCACAGGCCTCTGCCCCTTGCTGCCCCCTAGTGGATGTCCCCTAACAAGCCACCCTGTGCGTAGGGTGTGTCCCCCAGAGCCTTTCTCACGCTCCCAAAATCATTATTCATGCGTTATTGGAGCTGCTTTAAGTGCTCGAGGCTTTGCCCCGAGCCTCTGAAAAAAAACTCAAGTGAAACTAGGTACTCTCTGGGAAGGCTCGGTGGGTGGCTGCCTTCTCCCGGCTATCGTACGCATGCGCATGCCCGGGCAGCTCTCAGAGAGGCGGGCACAGCCCGGAGATGTGCAGGCCGAGAGTGCCACACGTGTGGGCAGCCCACAGAGGAGTTAAGGCTTGGGGAAACAAGGCCACCGGCCGGCTTAGCTGTCCTCTGCAGCAATTCAGGCCGTCTGACATGCTCTGAAAAGAAAATATGCAAAAGGTTAAAAATAACTTGAGTCAGGATGGCCTAGATGTTTGTGTGTGAGCTTAGGCAAAGCTTCCAGAGCCCTGTGAGGAGAATAAGGCCACCCCAACCATCCTGCCCGAGACCTTAACCCCCAGGGCGGAAATACTCAACAGACACCCATGCCTTTCTCTTTGGCTCTCCAGCTTCTGAACAACAAACCTCAGTGAATTAGAATTTCCCCAGGCATCTCTTGTGGAGCCTGGAAGACAGAAAAGGCTGACGCCTGGTGCCAGCCAGACAATTCCACACAGTTCTGACAACCCCAGACCACCTTGCCTAAGAGAAAGGGAGTGGATCCACATCTTGACCAGGGCTGCTTAGCTCACACACCGGTCTTCAGTTTAAACCCTCCCCTCCTGTTAAGACCGAGAACATGGACTACCGGAGGTCACTGGATCGCTTCGCTTCTCCCCGTGTGTCTGTCCACACTGCTTCTTTCTTTCTCCTCTCTGTGTAGCTCTGGCTGTCCTGGAACTCGCTCTGTAGACCAGGCTGGCCTTGAACTCACAGAGATCCACCTGTCTCTGCCTCCTGAGTGCTGGGATTAAAGGTGTGCGCCACCAAAGCCCGGCTGTTGTCTCTTTTAATATTACTATTGTGGTGGTGGTGGTTATTATTATGTGGAGGGTGCAGGCAGCCATGGCCTGCATGTGGAGGTCAGAGGACAACTTTGTGGAGTTGGTTCTCTCTGTCACCAGTCTTGTGAAATACCCGTAATGAGCTGGTTGTCCTTTATTTGGCTTGAGGATAGGTGGTCAAACTTGGCTCTTCAGGGTTGCCTCAATAGCCTCCGTTGCAAGTCCATTGCCCTTCCAGCTCTGCCATGGCCAGAGACTGGTGCAGATGCCCACACTCGGGTTTGAGCAGGTACACACACACACACACACACACACACACAGATCCCCCTCAACCCTGCCAGCCCTCCACAGGGGAGACCCCACAGCACAGAGAGGGCTTAGCGGGATTCTACAGGGCTGCAGATTCTTCAAGATGTTTCCTGCAAGTTATGTTCGTTCTGCTAGTCCCAAGCAGGTCAATGGGATCTCCCTGCCACGGCATCAATTCACAGGGGGACACAGGAGAAGCATCATCCGCAGCAAACAGCCCTTCACCCTCAGGCTTACGGAAGGCAGACACCACCTCTTCTCACTACCTGGTGCCAGAGGGGCAGGTGGGGTCCTGTCCAAGGCCTGGGTCTCCTCAGAAGTGTGTGTCTCAACAACAGTGGGCTCCCAGGCAGCTCAGCACCCTGGCATCCTTGAGTCATAGTCAAATTGGCCACTGGAGTTATGAGAGACAACAGGGACCTTTTCCCCAGTTTGTTCAATGTCCAGTTAGATTTAACATGCAGCCACCTCAGAACAGCCGCCTGGAAAGTTCTTGATCAGTTATGGACTTTTCTGGGGTCATAAAATGTCTGCTTGGCTGGAATCCATAGCTGGTACTTATAATCACAGCTAGATGGGAGAGAGAGGTGGCTCCCTGACAGCTTGTTCCTCCAGCCTATTTGGAAAAGTTCCAATAAGAGACCTTATCTAAAACAAAAGGTAAAGGCACCTGAGGAGTGACCTTCATGTGTGCTCACACTCACACTCAAGTGCTTCTCCGGAGCAGCCTCTATTAAACACTGAATGAGCCACTGCCCTGCTCACCTTGGACCATCAGACAGGTCTCTGGGTCCAGTAAAGGAGCTGCCAGGAAGAGGTGCTCACAGCGGCTTCTGAAGGAGGTGCAGGTATCCCTGTTTCACCAGCCCAGCTGGGAACACCAGCCTAGAGCTTCCAGGTCTTCCACACATTCACTGAGAAACTGGCTTCTTGCCTCAGGCAGAGAGCCTCACCCACCTGGGCATGCCAGGGCCCCGTTCTGCAGAGCATCTGACCCTATGAATCACCCGATTATCCACACACACACCCCTTCATAGCTGCTTACCTAATAACTTGAGGCCAGGTCAATACACGTCATGGAACTAGAAACCAAGATAGACACTCAGAAGCAGAAGTGGAGGGGATGGCTAAAACCAGGCCTCAGGTCCAATTCCCATGGAATGTAAACCTCTGTGGAGGAGCAGGTGTGGTGGCACACGATTTAATCCCAGCACTCGGGAAGCAGAGGCAGGTGGATAACTGTGAATATCGATAACGTAAAATACCAGTGCTGAGAGCTTTGTTTTTTGAAGGAGGGTCATGCTATGATAGCCCTGGCTAGCCTTGAACTCAATACTCTTATTTCCTCCCAATGTTGGATTATAGGAATATAACACCGTGCTTGCTTGTTTTGAGGTTTTTTTTTTTAAGGAATTTTGTTTCCTGCTGCTGTCCTTGTTTTCTAAGGTTTAAGGATTTTTTTAAAGATTTTATTTATTTATTATGTATACAACATTCTGCCTCCATGTATATCTGCACACCAGAAGAGGGCCCCAGATCTTGTTACAGATGGCTGTGAGCCACCATGTGTGTGGTTGCTGGGAATTGAACTCAGGACCCTGGGAAGAACAGCCAGTGCTCTTAACCTCTGAGCCATCTCTCCAGCCCTTTTTTGGATTTTTGAGACAGGTTCTCACACCACAGGGAAAGATGGCCAGAAACATATGTGTAAACCAGTATTGAGAGTTCTTATATGTGGAGACAGAAGGCTGTCCATTTAGATACAAGAGGAAACCCAGAAACGATTGGAGCTTGATCCAGGGCCATCATTCCTCTGCCTCTACTTGTTCTCTAAGAACAAGAAACAAGGTGCACGTGTGCCCGGGTGGTACAAGTATCTGGGTGACCCTAGAAGAGTGGTTCTCAACCTGTGGGTCACAACCTTTTTGGGGGTTGAATGACCCTTCCACAGGGGTCACCTCAGACCATCAGAAAACACATATTTACAGTACAATTCATAACAGTAGAAAATTACAGTTATGGAGCAGCAATGAAAATAATTTATGGTTGGGGTCACCACAGCATGAGGAACTGTGTTAAAGGTCACAGCAATTGGGAAGAGTGAGAACCACTGTGATGGGAACTTGGAGTGGTGGTCAAAGCAAAAGCCAGGCTGTGGAAGGTTCATCACCGTGTGAGCCAGTCACATCAAACCCTTCAGTCCATCCTGTTTATAGAGTACCATTGTGTGTGAGTGCCTCGGTGAGACACAGATGAACTGTCCAGCCCCGCCTCCCCGACTCACAGTCTAGGCCCCTCCCCGACTCACATGGCCTTGCTGGGAGCCCCCTGCTGTCTTCACATTGATTTTCTTTAAGAATGTCTCTTTCTTCTTCACCTCCTGCCACCCAAATCAGCATCCAGATTCACCATAGATGGATGGCAGAGCAGATCAGTGACTGTCCCTTCCCTGGCCATTCTGTCTTCTTGGCTTTAGTGTCCTGGTCCCCAGCACAGGCAGAGGGAGAAGCAACCCCATACTGCAATGCTCAGCAAACTCCCATGGACTCGGGGTCACCACGGTTCATAAATTCTACTTTCTCTGCTGCACTTACTCCTGGGATCTGAAGGCCCTTTCCCTGAGTCATCATAGAGCTTCCAGGTTTCCTTTTGGGAGAAATAACTTCTCAACAAGTTGCTTCTCGCAGCCACCTGCCTGGGTTGGTGGCTTAGCAAAGAAAGCAGGCAGGGTGGTTCATGCTACTTCACCTGCTGCTGCCTCCTGAGTCCCTGCCATTCCCAGGCTTGAGCTCTGCAGTCTGTTCTGGGTTCAGTTCCTCCAAAGTCACCAGGGAAGCCACTCACTTGCCCCACCTTTTCCTGACACCTGAAGACCACTGGGCCTGGTGAGTGGAGAAAGAATGTTTGGAGGCTTAAATTAGGAAGCCCCCACCATCTGCAGTAGAGATCACTGGCGGGGAAGCCTAGGAGTGGAGGAGATGGCTGCCAAGACCTAGGTGCTCCTTTGCCCTGCTCAGTGCTCTACGGAGCCTCTGGAGGAGTGATCAAAGTCCCCCAAGTCATTTCTCTGTTTATGGAAGAGTGGTTCTTCCATAAGCTGAGCTGGAAGTATACCCAGGTGTGGCTGGGAATGCCGTGACCCATCAGAGCAGGTGAGCTCCAAGATCAGAGGTTTGTCTGCTGCCCACATGAAGGCAGGTGTGGCAGCTTTGACTGGCCCAGTGCCAGAAGTATGTCTACCAGTCCAAGCCTTGGCTTCTTCCTCACCCTGCCCCGAAACTCTCTTTTCCCTCCAGCCCCTGAGGTCATCATCCAGATAGGTCATGGGCATCGAATTCTTGCGAGGGTGTGGGTGCTAGACTGTTCTTCTCAAAGTGAGGGAGATGCAGTCACCACTGAGAACTTCCTTAGTCAGCTAGCCCATCCAGGTCCCTGGTCTGGAACATCCAGGAGCCTACCAGGGCCGCCAGAGGCCAGGGCTGCCTGGAGGAGGCACCTGCGGAGAGGGAGCTGGAGCAGGGGCGGGTGTAGGTGTCTGTGAAGGTGGGACACCACTGACAGTCCTCTGCCGCAGGTGCTCCAGCAGGCGCACGCTCACGGCCGGCTCCAGGACGCTGCAGGCCGGCAGCATGCGCGCCAAGCGCGCCAGACAGGCTCTGTAACCCTCGAGGTAACTATCCAAGGGCTCTGTGGACAGAATGCAACGTGAGGCTCAGGTCCTGAACACTGTGCAAACTGCGGGGCACGTGAGGAGCGGGGAGCATGGTCACTCACCCGGCGCTGCAGTAGGGTAGGGGGACACAGGCTGCTCCTGCAGGAAGCGCACGGTCATTTCCAGGATGTCCGCCTTCTCCAGCTTCGAGTAGCGGGAAGTCTGTGTCAGGCCAGACAAGAGAGACACCCCATAACAAGCCGGGCCATTGGGCACCTCGCTCTTGCACCCAGATGCTCGCCAGTCGCGCGGTGGTCTCTACCACTCCATGGCTCAGATCCCACTAGGAGGCCTTCGGATCACCACGGAGCCCCGGGACCACTGGGTGCCCCAGGACTGTCCACCTCAGACACTCACCTCCGCGCCCAGCAAGGGCAATACCAGCCCCTTTAGCTGGCTCAGGCTCTGGTTGATCCTTGCGCGCCGGCGCTTCTCCAGCAGTGGCTTCAGGGTCTGCGGGGAGGTGCAGGAAAGCAGATGGGCGCAGAAGCTACGGTTAGGAGGGTCACGATCGCCCACCCCACGCTGCCGCGAGTCCCTGTCTCCCGTTCCTACCTTGCGCAGCTCCGCCGCGTCTCCTGCTCTTCTAGGCAGTCTCATGCTCCCAGGGAAAGCGAAGAGCGCGCACGGTCCGGTACCTCGGGGTGGAGGATCTTGCTGCAAGTCAGAGCAAAGAACGAAACGGGGAACCAAGTTCAAAGCCGAGCCTAAACTCGCGCCAAAGAAGTGCGCGCCCAGCCAGCTCCAGGCCTTTAAGGAGGCTGCGCCCGGCTCCGTCCCACCCCGCCCCACGGAGTCTGGCCAGCGCCACTCCCACCTCTCCGCCTTTGTCTCTGCGCAGGGTGGGGCTGAGAGGAAGAGTCAGAGCTGTTCCCCAGAGATGTCACTCTGGCCTCAAAGTCCCATCTGTGGTGGGGTCCCGCGACGTGCGGGCGCCGACTCCCAGGGCAAGAAGGATGGGTGGGGCCCGGCCTTGACTCCCTCTTAGCGGCTGCAGAGCTACGGAGCCCCGGAGTTCAGGGAGACCCAACAAGGGTTAAAAAGAGAGATTCGCTCCACCGACTGGACGTGGAGAAGCAGTGCTAGCAAGGTCCAATCTTTCTCCGGCCTGGCTGCCAGAACCAGGACTGAGGTCGCTGAACCCCTGGCTCTAAACAGTTTAGAAGCTAGGGCACCCCACTGACTTGAAAACCGCCTGGTCCTCCGGCCCCAGGTTGTGGAAAGGAAGCCTGAGCCCCACTCCCCAGGAAGAGGCAACCCAGGGTCCTCGGAGTTCATTTCAATTCAAGGCGCCCCGGGCTCCACCTGTGGGACCGTCGGAGGTCACATGACACGCGGGAGGTGGCGGTCCTGGGCGTGTGCCCCGGCTGCTGCACTCCGCCCCTGCGGGCCCCGACACGCCTCCACGACGCGTGGCCGTTGCTGCGGCAAACTGGCAGGGGTACCCCCCCCCTCTGCCGCGGGCTCCCCTCCCAGGGTCGGCTCCGCACAACCAGAGTCCGTAGGAGGCGCTCGTGGGGCGGGGCCAGGGTAGGCTCTGTCCAAGGTACTGGACGGACCCCTCGTTCCTGCCTTTGAGCCCCATTCCCTGGAAGCGAGCCCCAAATCCCTGGAAGTGCTCCCACAGTAGGCAAACGATGGAGGCCAGTGCACCAGGAAAGGGGCCCAGGGCGGCCTGGGCAGCAACGCTCAGCCCTCCTATTTCTATGGAGGTCCTTCTATGGCATACAAGGACCCACGACCACCACCAAGGAGTTACTTTGTGCAAGCTCGTTGTTTTCGACCTTCATTTCCTCAGTTTCGCCAACCCAACAGTTCTAATGAAGAGGACTTGTCCCAGCAGGTCTTGGGATGCCTGATTCCCCGGTTCTCTCCCACAGTCCGGTCTAGTATGACTATGGGCCAGCCCCTCACTATGTACACCAGGCTGGCTTCCAACTGACAAAGGTCAGCCTGCCTCTGCCCTCCGAGTGCGTGTGCCACCACATTCATTAATTATTCTTTGAGAGCTCAAAGAGGGAGGGCCAGGCGGATCTCTGTGAGTTCGAAGCCAGCCTGGTATACAGAGTGAGCTCCAGAACGGCCAAGAGTAGAATAGTAGAACAGAGAAACCCTGTCTTGAAAACAGGAGGGGGGGGCTTTAGGACCTTGTAGGGTTCAGTGGTTATGAGCAAGCGCTGCTCTTACAGAGGACCCGAGTTTGCTTCCCAGCCCCCAAGACAAATGGCTCACAACTTGCTAC